TATATATATATATGTTGCACTGTTTGAGGAGCCTGTGACCCAAGTATTTCATTGCCATATCTACACTGTAGCTGTTGTGCAAATGACAATAAAGCCTTGAACTTGAAACTCATAGATACATTTCTAGGAAACATAAGTATCATGCAGAGACAGTCATGACGAATTTGTACATTAGCTGTTGGTGGAGGTGTTAGCTTCTGTGCTAACCATAGCGCTGTCACCTTTATCAACAGGTGGTCTTTGTCACGATCTTAGTTTTATGTCACGGTTTTAGTTTGGTCTGTCTTGTCATGGTTTTATTTTTGCTATTCTGTTCTCCCTGTGTCTTGTCTTCCTCCCTGTCGTTAGTTTCCCTGGTGTGTCTGATTGTGTTCACCTGTTGCCCTTGTGTTTCTCCTCCCCTGCCCGGCTGTTTCTCTTCTCGTGATTACCCCTCCCTGTATTTAGTCTTGTCTCTTCCTGTGTTGGTTCATTATTTGTCGTTCATGTCTCCCTTCATGTTGTTCACCGTCACCTTTTGTTTGGATGCTACCTTGTACCTGTTCATGGATTCTTGTTTTACCTCCTACCTGCTCATGGATTCTTGTTTTACCTCGTACCTGTTCATGGATTCTTGTTTTACCTCGTACCTGCTCATGGATTCTTGTTTTTTCAGCTTTTGAAAATAAAGCTCGCCTTTTTGTTTCCTTTTGAAACCTGCTTCCTCCTCAATCTGCATTTGGGTCCTATTTTCCCCCAACCCTGACAGTCTTAAAGAGTAGTAGCATTTACTCACAGCACACACTGTACACACACTGCAGGGCTACATTTCTGCTGAGTAAAACTCACTGCCCACACATTTTACATATAAGGTCAGAGTCAGGGACTTTCTAAGAATTGTTTTTCACTTTTATCAGCAGTTTCAATTCACTGGGCTATGAACTGTTTATGTATGTATAAAGGGGGAGGAGAAATAACTAAGACTTCAAAGAAAGGAGGTAAAAGGGGGAAGGATAGAAGAGTAAGGGGGTGAGGAGTTGTTAGATATAATGAAAGATATACATTCAGGAAATACTGCTGAGCAGAATCAGATACTGGAGACCAACCAACACCAGACAACTGATCTCAGGGAAGACGTTGGCGTCCAAATCCAACAAAATGAAGAGCTTTCTTCTCCTCATCCTCTCACTGATGACAGGTAAGATGATTGCTGCTACTGAATGAGCTAATGTTTGTTATAGCTCTGTCTCTAAAATAATGTAATGTTTCTAGCATTGTCCCTATAAGACTCAGGTTCATACGATCAACAAACTGGGTCGAAAGAAAATGTTCTTTATTTTGATATTTGTATATGTGCAGTAATATATTTTGTTTTGCTTAGTTAATTAATTTGATAATAAAAAAATATGCATAAACACGCATTTATAAAATAAATATATGGCATTTAGACTGCTTTACAATTCATTACAGTGTCTGCACTAAGAAATTCCCAAATTGTCAATTATAATAGGCTTAACGAGTCACACAAAGAACAAATGACTAGACAAGCAGATACAAATTGGATAGATAAGGTAAATAGATCTTTACAATTTATACTCCAAGGGTTTTGTACTATTCTTTTTATATTTTGTTGTATTTCCTTGTTAGCTTAGTTTGTGTAGTTGACTTGCTTACGATTGTTTTAACATGAATTTTTATCTGCAGCTGACGGCTGCCATGGAAAATGTATTAAAACTGACAGTGTTTCCCAAACCATTGTACGAATAAATTATAAATTGAGCGACGTCCATTCCAACGTTTGGAAACTCAGGCGAAAAATATCCGACAGGTAGTCTGCTAGCAATGAACTGATTTATCTTTGTGATCTACTGGTAGAAAGTTTAGGTTGAGTTGATAAATAGGTCATAATTCTGGGATTGTTTTGTCTCTGACATGATGTGACTGTTTGCCTTTGTCTGATCTTCACAGGTTGTGAGGCCAGTGATGTGGTGACGGGATGCAGAGAAGGATGGGTTGAATTCATCTTTAAATACCCTGAAGCAAATGGAAATTATCAAAGAATTGATTTATTAAAGGCAGAAGAAACAATCATAGGAAGCATTAGGAAGGATGTATGGGAAAACAAAAGCAGATTTCATCTGTACCATGATACAGAAAATAAAACATTCAAAGTAATCATCAACCAACTTCCACATGAGGACTTTGGGAGATATATGTGTGAACTATATGGAAAAAACGAGTCTTCCCCTGCGAAAGTGAAACTAGGCTGGTTATTTGGTGAGTAACCCTAACTAATTAACAAAATATAAAAACATGGTCAAACGTTTTCCCTAAGGAAACATTGCACATGTAATATATCAAATGTTACAGACTATGTTTTTACAGGCACAGCTATAGATTGTACATAACAGATATTTCCTATAACTTCAGAAATCAAATGCTCACATTTTTTTGAATGGTTTGTTCTTGGTATTTTGTTTGTACCAGTGAAGCACATAACAACATTTTGCATGTTTTACTTTATATTTTATTTGTAGCTGCAGACTGCAAGGATCCATTTAATCAAACTGCGTACAGAACAGCTAGAACCACCATCACATGTGACGAAGGAAACAAAGACGATTATAGATTCAAGTTTTTCTGCAAAGAGAACGGTCCAATCTGTGAAGATATTTTATCAACAAAATCTGCTCTGAGGTCAAATGGGTATGTTCACTCTCACAGAAACAGAGAGTGGCTTCACTGTGTCCATCAGTAATGTGTCCCCACAGCACGCTGGAGTCTACTGGTGTGGAGTGGAATCAACTGAAGGAAGTTACAGAGCTGCTCTCAGGAAAATACAACTGGAGGTTAAAGGTGAGAAACTAAATATCTGAGATTAAAAATAAAGGCTTCTAGGATTATCTTGTTAAATACAGTCCATGCTGTCTGTCTGTTTCCAGCTGCTATCACAAGCTTCAGTAGGTCTCCAACTATTGGACAGAATGTTACATACTGGTGTCAATATCCAGAGGGTGCTCCAGTAAAGAAGTTCATCTGTAAGGGAGAAGATCCATCTATATGTGAACATGTAGTCAGCACTGCCCAGAACACTGAGAGGTTTTCCATGATTGATGAAACGGAGAAGAGAAACATCACCATAACAGTGAGAGGCGTAACAAAGGAAGACAGCGGGACATACTGGTGTGGAGCAGAAAGGAAGACTGAAACACAAAGCAACCCCTTCTTCAACAGATTTCTGATGACTGTTGGTGAGTTGTGTGATTTTATGTTGTGGATGTTATCTGCCCTGGTTCAGATTGTAGGAGAGTCAAGCATTGATGGATAGCATGAAAACAAAGCTACAGTTTTCTTGATCACCACTGAACATGTTTTTCTTTCTGTCTCAAGTTATTTGAATAATGTGATTTTGATCTGTTGAGTTTCACGGAAAACTATTATTACAAGTAGTGGAAGGAATTGTTTAAGGTTATGTAAAAGCAGTAATGTTCCTTTGCTCATCCTAACAATATTATTTATAATTTTTTTAATTTTAGATATATATATTTTTAACCAAAAATTGTTGTATACATTTTAGTGACAATTTAACAAATTAAGAGTTGAACAGGCTGTAATTACTCCACATCCTTTTGCACTTGATCAAAAAATCCAACTAAGGCAAACACATCAGGTGACAGAACAAAACACTGTTTGAAAAGCTCCGGCAAAAATTAGTGTTGGATTAAGAATTCACAATTGAAATATCGAGAGCGTTAAATACAGTGTAGCTTTCATGTGTAACTTCAATGCACTTTTTTCAGTTTCAGTGCAACCACCGACAGCCACATTTCCTGTTTCTTCAACGACTACTGCATTTGCTGAGAGTCGTGGTAAGAGAGCCTTTTTGACATCTTAAGCCTTCTGCAGCGGGAAACTGTTTCTACATTTTGTATCTGTGAAATTCCTGCTTGATATTTTCTTTGCGTGTTTGCAGATGGCCCTCATGTCGTCATTACTGTGATCATCTGTGTAGCCGCGCTGCTGCTGCTGCTGTTTGTTCTCATGCTGATTCTGATCTACACACGTAAGCGTTTCGAAACATTCAAAAATGTCTCACACGGTACATCACAACATCTGCATCCTGTACGCAGGGGATGACTAGGAGAGGAAAAGGAGATAACAGTGCACTTTGGAGGTTGATTTTCATTCTAGATTTCATATTTGTTACATTTATTATTTCTGGTGATAAACAATCCCACTCCAGATTGTAAAATACAAAATTATCAGCAATTGTCAATTCGTAACTGAATAGGACTTGAGAAGCGTGTTTTAAATTCAATTAAAAATATTTGATCATTGTTCTTGTTTATGTTAACTTTGTTTTCTGCTAGGCTTCTCAAAAAATAAAAGAGATGCAGCAGCAGCAGCGCAGAACGACAAAGATGTAAGTGTATAAATGTACATCCTGTGCTTTGGGGCGGCGGTGCTTCAGTTTGTAGGGGCTTGGACGTTGGACCGAGTTCACCTCCTGGGCCACTACGAGGTGTCCCTTGAGCAAGGCACTGGACCCCTAATTACTCCCTGGCCCTGTTTCTAGGGGCTTTCTGAAGATAATCATTATTTTTGAATTGGCCATAATAATTCAAATGAATTAATTAATTTAGTTTTTAGTTCAAGAGATATCATTTAATCATTTGTTTTGAGATTAAAGTCAGAATTCTGGCTTTTTTCAAATCAGAAAACTGACTTGAATCTCAGAACAGAACAAAAAATATCACTTTCAAATATGTGTTTACATGTGGCCCTTATTCTCTTCCGTAGATATGCAGATGGAAATGTAAAGATTTAAAGTTACTCTGTGATAGTTAATTAAATCATTGGATGCACAGAGACAATCACAAAACTAATGTTTTCACTAAAGAAACTCAAATTAATTTCTGTCTACAACGTTAAACACACTTGAAATGTTTAGTGTTTATTGTTGGATTGAATCAACTTTATTTTTCATTCTTCCCTGGAAGGATTATATCTACGAGGAGATACAGGAGCGCCCCCTGAAGCCAGACTCAGGAAATTCTATAAACAAGATTTATTCCACTGCCAACTTTCCCACAACCCCCTCTGCCTCGCTGCATTACTCTACCATCAACTTTAGAAACGGCTCTGGTGAAGCTGCTGAGGTACTGATGACCAATCCCAGCTCCTCTGCATGTGATTATTCTGCTGTGAAGGGCGTAGAGATACCAACCTACTCTAATGTGAACCAGCACTCTCCAGAGGACCCTCTGTACTCTATCGTCAGCAAGACACAGCAGCAATGAGGAAAGACCAGGCAGGGAATTATAATATCTACTAAATGTTTGACCATCATTTCAGCTCATTCATTTTTGATGTTATTTACAGTGAGATCCAGATCAGACTTCAGGAATTACACACAGATATTAGGGTGTTAGGACCTGAATCCTGACATCCACTCAATCATCCACTTTGTTTATTGTTGGAAATCGTGAAGAAAGGAGTGGAAAATTATTTGAAAGACATTTTGTTTTTCTTTTGCAAGCAGATATACATCATTAAGCAACTTATATTTCATGTCAGACGTATTGATATTGTGTCAGAACAGCAGGTTTAGTTGTTACAGTAGGGGAGACTGAAAGTGTTACATCTCAAATGCACAAAAGAGAACTAACTTGTGAAAGTACAAGCTGCCACTTTTTTTCAACCAAACGCTATCCAACTACAAAAGCCTTAAGCTGCATTCACATGATACACCATTTGCTCCTTGCTGAACACGAGGTTGGACGCAGAGCCTCTTGGTGAAAACAGCTAGTTAAGTTTTGTTTCTATAGCTACTTCCCCACTTAATATAGCTGTCATCTGATTGGTTGTGCATCGAAAGGTCTTTACTTGACTTTGATCACAGCGCCTCGCTCCATAGAAGAACACCGGCAACTTGTTTTTATATTGATAATAAAAAAGTTTTACCTTTGTAATCGAGTGGTCTTAATTATCCTACAGTTGATATTGCAGATGTGTATATGGCACCAAACAATTACACAAAGTACAAAGTGCTTTACTGAGAGAAG